GCCATCAGCGATATCATTGATCGCACTGGTGCGGATTCTCTGAAGATGTTCGTCACGCAAATCACGGGTCCTCTTATCCGTGTAGTGTCTGAGCGGTCGGTGGATATCAAATGTAAGTCCTTCTCTTCATTCTTACAACGCTGTTGTCTTCGGTCCTCTAACTTACGATAAACTTCAGGTGCCATCTTCTTCACTCTTAACAAACTCCTGGAGAAAATTCCGTTGGCTGTCAAGCCATTCTTGCCCCAACTTCAACGGACGTTCGCCCGTGGTCTGGCCGACTCTACTAGCGAGACTTTGCGCAACAGGGCCGCCAAGGGCCTTGGAATCCTGATCACTTTGACTCCTAGGGTCGACCCTCTTATTGCGGAACTCGTTACTGGAACCAAGACACCTGACGTTGGAGTGAGAAATGCAATGATGAAGGCTCTTCAAGAGGTTGTCGGCAAGGCCGGCGCCAACATGAGTGAAGCTTCGAAGAATGCTATTCTGGCCCTGATCGATGACGAAGCCAGCGATCAGACTGACACTGTAGCTATCACCAATGCCAAGCTTCTGGGTGCTTTGGTCAAGGTGCTTCCACCAGCCACAGCAGGCCCACTCATCAAGAACAGAGTCCTGACAGCCAATGTCTCTCATTCTTCGATTTTGGGTCTCAATGCTCTGCTTGTCGAGGCGCCTTCCGCGTTGACTGAGAATTTTGCCACTGAGACGCAGGCTGTCATCTGCCAAGGTGTCACCAACAAGGATGTAAGTGTTTCCAGCATGTAGGACCACGGACCGCGCTAACTCCTGATAGCCCTTTATTTCCGACAACAGCGTCTTGGCTGCAGGTAAGTATCTGCTTATTGAGGATGAGCATCGCAACTTCGAAGTCAACAAAGCCATTTTCGAAGCGTTGGCGCCTTGCATTCAGCCTGGTGGGCCCTCCGATACCCGGAGATTGGCTTTGGTGGTCCTGCGGACCGTCAGCCGACTTCATCCGGAGTTGACTCGGCCGCACCTGGCTCTCCTTGCGCCCCCCATCTTCGGCAGTGTGCGCGACATGGTCATCCCTGTGAAGTTGGCGGCGGAGGCTGCCTTCCTCGCGATCTTCTCTGTGGTAGAGTCTGAAAGTGCCGTATTCGACAAGTACATGGCTGGCCCTGGGGCTGAGCTTCCGCCGGGCCCCAAGCGGAGCATGTCTGACTACTTCAAGCGTGTTGCCTTGCGTCTTGCCAGCCAGGCCCGAGAGCGAAAGGAGGCGGAGGGTGGACAGGGTGGGCTAGGCCTGTCGAATGATGAGGTTGATGACGAGAAGGAAGTGTGGAGCATTGGCAAGGTCGATCTTGGAGAGGGGAAGTTTGGAGATGATTGATGGTAGGATGATGTTGTGAAGTAGACTTGATCTAGCAGTGGCATGAATTAGATTTATACCCTTGTCTCGGGGGTTGAGGTTGATTCTGATGGGGAAGCCTTGGAGGAAAGAAGGAAAAGGTTTTAGGAATGTTTTATGTTTATAGGAATGTTATATGTTATTGGCATATGGTCCATGTCATTCGATATCATAAGGTAAGTACTACTAATGCCTAGACTAGGTATCCATGATCTTACTTGGTGGTACTTAGTGTCGACTCCATTCGTACTTGGCTGTCTAGACTTGGACTAGCCCTATCTACTTACTTATCCATGGAGTACGGATAGATAAGAAACACCATGAGCTTATCAGTCACGTGCTGGGCGGTCGGCGGAAACCAACACCAGAGAAACATCAAGAGAAGAATCGAGCAAGTGGATGCAGAGAAAAGTGGAAAACAAGAAAAAAAGGCAGACAGCCTCATCATCCATGTAACTTGTCTAGGTCAGATAACACTGCGAACCCTATACCTGACTCGTCTGTACATGGAGGTGAGGCTCTGGCGGCGGAACCCCAGATCGGGACAAGCGGCTGGGGCACAAGCCCTAGGGTGGATTTTCTCGCTTAGAAGCACAGTGGCTTAGCTAATCAGTGGGCGTATCTCAAACTCCTCAGCTGGGAATTCTGCCCGTCGTCGAGTGCAACGAACATCATCCGCCAACGACCGTCGATACGCCGACATCAAGATGTGAGTCCTATCATCGATTTGTGCTCGTGTCGTTTGAGAGGAGAATTACGGCCCTTCGATGGACTACTTTTTTGGCCCTTTTGCCCAACCATGCACTACCTCCTCCGCATATGCCCATCGAGGGGCCCTTATCACTCCTCCACTCGTCGACGAAGCAAAGGAATTTCTCGGATCGCGTTGGACTGCATGCTGACCGTCTGATTTTTTTCCCACACAATAGGGTCAACCTTCGCACCCAGAAGCGCCTCGCGGCCTCCGTGGTCGGCTGCGGCAAGCGCAAGATTTGGCTCGACCCCAATGAGATGAATGAGATCTCCAACGCCAACTCCCGTCAGACCATCCGCAAGCTCGTCAGCGATGGCCTCATCATCCGCAAGCCCGTCACCATGCACTCCCGCGCCCGTGCCCGTGAGCTCGCCGCCGCCCGCAGAATCGGCAGACACCGTGGTCTGGGTAAGCGCAAGGGTACCAAGGAGGCTCGTATGCCCAGGTATGCACTCCCGACTCTCTCTCGCCTCCACGCAACGGAAGGATCGGTCTTAGGCTTTGGATATGACTGGATCGCGATACTGGAAATCTGGGTTGGAGACAGAAGGTGCTGACATGCGGTTTTCTTCCCTCACTACAGCCAGATCCTCTGGATGCGCCGCATGCGTGTTCTCCGCCGCCTGCTCGTCCGTTACCGTGCCTCCGGCAAGATCGACAAGCACCTGTACCACGAGCTCTACCACCTGAGCAAGGGTAACACCTTCAAGCACAAGCGTGCCCTCATCGAGCACGTAAGTTGACTCCTTTGTCTGCTTTGCTGCACGAACCGCCTTTTTTGTCACGAACCCACCACATTTCTTGGAACTACACACAGTCCTATGGCGGACTGGCAGAACTTGATGGAGACTAGGAACTAACCCGGTTTCTTTCACCCACCACAGATCCAGAAGGCCAAGGCCGAGAGACACCGTGAGCGTGTCCTCAAGGAGGAGATGGACGCTAAGCGTGCCAAGAACAAGGCTCTCCGTGAGCGCCGCTTGGAGCGCAAGGAGGCCAAGCAGAACGCTCTGGTCGCCGAGGCCCAGGAGTAAATTTCTTCTGTTTGACGAACTTTGGCGGTGCGGAGGTTGAAAAGCGGGGGATAATGGGTTAATCGATCAGCCAGTGGAATATAAATCAGGTCGACCAAAACTACACACTTCCCCGTTTTTTCGTTGCAGGTCTGGCTCGTTGGCTTTGAGAAGAACAAGAAAAGTTGCATCCGGGACACATGGCTTCTGTCTGAATCGTATCAAGGAGGCAACCCGGCACACCTGGGTTCGTCGGGGACACGGGGAAATTAACATATATCACCTCTGGCTTTACCTCTTTGCCCGTTTACACCACGGGGAGCAAAGCCTAGAGCATGTGAATATGGAACAAGACAAGAAAAAAAAAGAGAAATGACCAACTTTTTCATTAAAGTCCAAAACAATGGCATGGCGCTTTGTGTGTGTTACGAAATTCCCGAACATTGTTCTTTCTATCTTCTACTCACACACATGGTCTTTCCCATTCTCCATCTCTTTTTATACCCCGGACAAAAAATCAGCCAGAGCCACTACCCCGGATGTCTTTATTTCTTTCTCGTTATCTCATGCCATCGCATTCGGGCCCTGCTCTCCACCTTATCTTCTTAACTCCTCCTTCCTCCCCTTCTAAGGCCTGGTCTAGCCCTTTTCCTCCGGTCGGGTTACCCTTCTACCCCATCCTCCGGCTATAATTCCTCCCCCGCAACGTCCTTGTTTAATGTCGTAACGTTTCCTGAATATCACGCTTGAGGGTTCCAGTCCAGTCCAATCGCGGGGTCTCTTCTCGCTCGTAGGATAAATACCCCATCGTCGCGATGCTGTACAATGAAGAGCCCCACTTAAGAGAAATCTTGACCGAATTGAACCCACTCGCCCTTGAGAAATGGGAATTGGGATCATCATCCATTCCCCTCTTGTTTTGCCATGAGGTTGTGGAAGCCCGCCTTGACACAGAAACACCTCCATTTTTTCCGTTTTTTTTTTTTTTTGTCACCAGGTTTTACGTCTATAGGGAAACCCGCCCACGCACGCGACTCCCGCATTCAAAGAATTCTGTTTTCCTTCTGTTGATCAGCAAAACTGACAGAGTGGCTATGAGTATCGTGTGGGACAACCTACTAGGTAGGAATCAGGCCCTGCCATGTTCGGCAAACTTTATTGTACTTACATAACTCTTATGTTACTGCACATATGTACTTGCACGTAACCCGTTACTCCACTGCGGGTGTGTGGGCGGACACTATCAATGAAGTCATGCCTCCCCGGGGGGGAGGGGGTATGACATGATCTTGGCTTCATCGCATCTTACTCCAAACACATTGCAAAAATTCAATTGGTCAGGCACAGTTCAAACTACGAATCCCGATTTCCACACCTCGTGTGGTTTGTTGGGAAGCGGCAATCTGCAGCGTGGGCGTAATTAATGCATAGATGCCCTCGGATGGCGGGTTGGATATATAAAGTGGTGGTGGGTGGAGTTGGTCTTGCGGGTGCGCCGACCCTTCCAAGGTAAAGGGTTAAATGGTCGGGAGGAAAGCCATTTCTTAGTCTTCAGGTGATGGACTGTCGGCTTGTGCTCATTTCATCTCTCTAATCTGTTTATTTTGTGTACTGGAGTAAATTTCAAGAGATAAAAATAGGTGCACAAGATCTTGATCGATCCTATTTGCGGTAGGACTGGAAACCGGCTGAGTATCATACAACCCGAACCACGGCAAAGAACACCTTCCGTGCCTCCTGGAATTATTGAGATCAAGAAAAAATCATACATGTACATGAAGTTCGAAGGTTATAAAGCAAAGTAGAAACATGGAACTACGACTCCCTGTTCTTCCCAGAAACATTGACGCAGCATATCATCATACAGCGGGTCGGTTCGGTCATATCATTATACACATCCAGTCTTACGGAATCCCCGAGAATCAGATCTTACTGAGTACTACACCTGCGCGAGCGGGATGGTCGTCGAACTGCGACGATGCATGACCGCCGCCTTGACTGGATATTCCAGATCGAATGGGTCGCTGCGCGTGCTGACCCGCGCGCCCGGATCATAATACCCTTCGCCACCCCCGGCGTCCGAGAGCTCGTTGACGGTGAAAGGGTAGCTGAGGCGGTTGAGGAGACTGCTTCCGACACTGCTGCGGCCATTCGGGAGGATGAGCGTGCTGCCCAGGCTGACGTCGCCGCCGCTGTAGACGGAGCCGCCCCAGGCAATGGACACGGGGCGTTGCTGCTGGGACATCTGCGATCGGCGCAAGTGGGTGGAGGTGGAGGTGGAGGTGGTGGGCGATACGATTCCCGGGCTGGAATAGGGGTCGGCGAAAGGGTTGCGCATCACTCGGTCGCGTTGAACGGTCGTTCCACGGGATGACGTGGACTTGTAGGTGAGTTCGAGGGGCTCGACGAATGGATTAGCGTTTGCAGCGCGGGGGATGGCGGAAGAGCGGGGGTCGTAGTAGGTGTATTCGGGCTTGGAGACGGGGACTCTGGCCACGTGAATGGGGTGTGAGCGGACAGAAGAGGAGGAGCCGGAAAGAAAGGACCGGCGCGATCGGTACCCTGGACGAGAAGCACCACCTGGGAGTGCTACAGTAGGTATCTTTTCCGCTGTAAAAACTTCCTCACTTGTGCCGAGGCTCGGAGAGCCTCGACCAGTGCGTCGCTTCGAGCTCATGAAGTAATAACCTAAGACTAAAGCGAGCGCCACGAAGGCCAGTCCACCTAGCACACTGCCCAAGATGGTACGTAAGGGGGTGCTGGAGCTAGAGTCGTGGGGGAAATCTACGGGATCTGCTGAAGTGGTGTGGTTGCTGGAAGTCACATCCGTCGTGGTAGGTATGGCTGTCGATGCAGTACTGATTGCTAAAGACGTCTGGGGCGCTGATGTGATGAGGCTGGCTGCACCAAGCAAGTACTCAGAGTGCTCCGTCGACGACGGTTGCACGAGTTGGCTGGAGCTGAGACTCGGAGTTTGGGTGCTCGTCTGCGAAGACAGTGGGACGTGTTCATGTTGAACACTAGGAAGGTATGAGGTTGTGAAAGCACTAAGACTATCTGTTGTCGTGGTGGTTGCGACGGAACTGGGAAGCGTATCTGTAGAAATCGCGGCTGGAGCCTGCGACAGCCGCGTTGCTGCGGTCTGCGCAGGATATTCAAGTGAAATTTGAGAATCTGTGCGGGTTGCAATCGGATCATTTGCTGGGACAGTCTCATTGTCGATCAACGACAAAGCATCCGTGTTCGGGACGGCGATGTGAGTTCCTGCTGCCGGCCATGACAAGCTGGTTATTGCCGAAGGTGCCCCCGAGGGCACAGCAATGCTGGACTCTTGTGGGACTCTGGTGCACCTGGTACTCTGAAGAAGCAGACAAGCACTAGGCATGGACATGTCGCCAAGCCCGCAGGCCGAATAGCGCAATGCAAGTTTGCTGGATCCAAGGCGGAAGACTTAAAGATATAGACTGCATAAACGCCTGGTATAATTGCTAGAAAGAGAGACTTTCAGGTTATGAGGCCACAGGCGCGTAAAAGAGTGATAGCGCCGAGAGCACGATGGAAGCTGAAACGATCGACTAGAAACGAACGGAGGGAGTGACAGAAAAGCAGGAATGACAGCAGCTCAGGGCATAGTCACTAAATCTTTCTCATTGTTCTTTTCCTCTATCTGGACAAATCAGGCAGGCCATGACAGGGACGTCGAAGGCGACGACGGCCCGGGTTGGACGGTATTGTTTCAGGATGCGAACGGTGAAGTAGAGGGCCAAAAAAAACGGTCAAATGCGATTGCACGTGAAGAGGCGTCGAAGTTGATGTATCCAGGATGCTAAGGAACACAGCCTCGAAAAGGGCGAGAAAAGCTGACACGAGAGGTTGACGCGAAGGAAAGAAAAAAGAAAACAGAACGGCTGGTCATCCTAGGATGATATCAACAGCAGGCAAGCTAATCTACCGAATGTGTTGGGGCCAGGCGCTTGTATGTGTGCATGTACGTAGAATTGGAAGCTGATATGCGAAGCAGGGGATGAAAAGCTGGATGAAACAGCAGAGCCACCAAAGTCGATCCGACCTGGAAGCAGAGACAGCTCTGACAAGATGGTCATATGGTTGCATAAGAGGGGTTCAGACCCTTTGGCCCCCCTCGCGTGAGGAGTAGAAGAGTTCATACCTAGTACTCCGTAGTTCAGGGGACACTCAGGGAACACTTGACGATGATTGAGTGGAGAGAGCAAGGTGATGGATGGCGGGACTCGAGCCAATCATGGGGGTGAGAATGGCGATGAAAGGCCATGAAGAGTGAACTGTGAAATGAGATTGGCTTGCAATCATGCGAGCATGTTGGTATATAGGCATATACCTAGGCATATTTGACAGATATTAGGTAGATCAACAATCCGAATTGAAGGTTAAGCATGAGCGTTGGATTGGGGAGAGTGTTTGACTCGACTGACGGGATACGGGATACTTCAGCTCACTCACTCGAGGTCAGACCACCTGATCGTCCCTTGGTCATTGGCTGATGCTCCCCTAGTCCCGAAGTAGACTAGTCTCGGCGTCAGGTGCATGCTGAGTCACATAGACTAACCATATTTGAACAAAGCCCCATTCTCCCGCTGCGGTGATGGTTGCCTGAGGTTGGATCCATGATACGTCTGCCTACGTCTGCCTTTCCCCTCAATTGTTAGTTGATTGTTCAATGATTTGACAATAGGAACAATTGGAACAAGGTCATGTCATGTAATGTGAGCAGACGGTTAGTTTGACATTATCTGGTTTGTTGCTCTGTCTATAATTCATTGGCTGGCAAAGAGCAGGATCTATGCAAAGGTGTGCCATACGATTGATGTCATGGCAAGAGTGGTTCTGGTTCCTCGCCTGCGCCCAAGGAAAGGCTCCTGACATTCCCAAGGATCTGCCCCAAACTCCGCCAAAACTCACTCATTAATGAGACTAATGAAACTAATGGGCATGGAGACCCTCGAAGGATGGTTGCCAAATGAGCTTGTCCACGTCCCTTGGGCTTGTCCTGGCCTTCTCCTGTTTCTTGCCCGCCACTCCAGAATTTCCCCGCATTGTGTGTGTGTCGTGTAGGTTATACTTGAGTAGTTGATCTTCACACAAGAGTAGAATGTAGTCGAGTGTGTATTCAGTCAAATCGATAGGCAGGCAGTATGAGGGTCATTGGTAAGAGTGATAGGATCAGGAGATCCCCTCGAAGCGATAATAACTAGTCAGTAAGTACTCGAGTGGTTAGTTATCTAGTCTAGTGAGAAGTGAGTGAGTGAGTGCATGACAATGACCATGACCGGGGAATGAATAAATGAATGGATGGATGATTGGAGTAAAACCCGCTGTTGATCCTTTCTGCCTCTTGCTGCCTCTTACCACAAGAGCTTCGCTTCTGTTGAAAAGATAGGTAGTTAAAGGTACTCTCTTGCTTCATTCTTAATCATCCCACATTTCCCTCTTCACCCCCCCCCCCCCCAATCCAATCCACCACCCACTTTTTTTGCCATCGCTGGTTGGCGCTAATCTCCACCCCAACTTTCACTACCCACCCTTCATTCATTCTTCTTCTGCTTCTTCTTCTTCTTCTTCTCTAACATTGGGAGATTACTATTTATCTCCCCCGCCTCCCTCCCTTCACCCCCCCAAATTTGTCTACATGTGTACTATTTGGTTGATCGATCGATCAATTGGTTGCTCCGCCTCGGTTTAATTAGTGCTGTGCAGTTCGGCTTGGATAGCTTTCTTCCTCTCCCTTTCTCTCCTTATTTATTCCCTTACATTTGACCCATCAAAGCGCTCTCTTCTCTCTCCCCCTCTCTTTTCCTCTCTGCTTGGGTGGCGTGCACACGAACCCCCGGTACCTTACAGATTATCTCCTCCCACGCTTGCACGTCTCTCCCCTGTGTGATCGATCGACTTTCCCGGCATCATGTTCGGGTGGTCTGGTTCGCTGGGTAAGGCTGCCCGTTTCCCACTATTCTTTGGACAATCTTCCCTCTCATGCAAATCGTTGCTCTCGTACATCAACCACTGTTCTTATCTCGATGGCCCCCATGCAGGACCCTGTAATTACAGCACAGACTCCGCGACATAAGCGGCGGCTCTGCTGGCCTCGTGATTGCCTGAAGCCACAGAGTTCTTCTGCTTCGGTCGCGCAATGGTCTTCGGGGTCAATTCTGCCTTGTGCCTATGCTTCCGAGGGCCCCATAACCCCCGGTGGCCCGTCGGTCGGCTCTCTGCCCAATTTGAGCCACGCCCGACACAAATCATCTGTTGACTCTTTCCATTGCTAACATGATGCGATGCAGGCCTTCCGGTGAGCGCAGCACCGGAGAAAGAGCGCTGCCCACCGTCTGCCCCCACAGAGCTCGACTTCCCTGTCTACCACGTCCCCGATCTTGCAGAAAATGGGTCCGAAACATCCTTGGCCAGACTCAACGAAGTGCTAGCCTCCATCCGACGGCCGCAAGATATCAATCCACAGAAATTCGAGGCCCTGAATCTGAAGTTGGAATCCGATGTCCCTGCCGCCCGCATTGTCCGTCAATCGGGTCCGAAAACAGCCCCCCCACTTCCATGGGAAAACATGTCGGCCAGATCCTCCCCGGTGGATGAAGATGGCACTCCTATTCTGATGGACAATGAGAACCCATACCCCTCGCGAGACCGGTTTGAACTGCTACAGAGTGAATTACTACTCGATAACGATGACGCATTCAGAGAGGTGGCTAGACTGCCTCCCCAGGAAGGACGGGATCGAGTCAGGGTCACACACACACGCAAGTTTTGGACGGGATTGGAGCGCATGGCTCAGTACTGGGATACCAGCTTGGACGATTACTTCGAGCGCCCGGCCTCCCCGCCACCTGTTCAGGACGATGAACCTATGCAGACGAACGAGGAGCCACAAGTATCCAAGGACCTTGACATCCCAGAGATTCGCATGGATGTGGACGGTGTAGATCAGGACGAAAAACTGGCAGACAGCCCACCAGGTCCTCGGGATCCGGAACCAGAGATTGTGACTCGATACAAAGGTCGCCGTATTGGCTCAGGGAGTGAAATGCCGGAAGATGCGCGCGACGAAACCATTCGAGCATTGACGGAGATGGCTGCCTGGCCCTTTGGATGTCAGGTCGCCCTGCCAATTGCTCCTCCCAAGTTGGCCGCCAAGACGGTCCTCTTCCCAGTCCGACAGACCTTCGTGGCCGCTCGATCTCCCAAAGACCGACAGCTGGCCCGTAGTGGTGTCATGGAAGGGCCCGTCTTCACGGCTCAGTGTCGACCGGAAACTGCATTTCGAGGACCCGAAGACACCCCCGGTGAAAGCGTCGGCGATGTGTGTGATCTGCTCCGCGAAGTGGGTGCCATGCTCCTGACCGCACAGGAACGAGCCCGACAGGGAGCCACTGAAGCCAGACCAGGGGAAGGTCAGTGGTGGACGACCGTGCCGCGGTGGGGTGGTGCGCCAAACCATGCCGATGGCGATGGCCATGGGCAAGGTGAAGATGATGCCTCTTCAGTGGAGCAAGGGAATGCTCGCAAGCGTCATCAGATTGAGCATCCATTCCTTGCATTGCGTCGGCCAAGTCTGGTCCGTAAACTGAGCAACAACTCCAAGTGGAAGATCGTGGAACCCGGTCCCAGTCTTTGGGATAGGCGAATGAGGTACATCCAGATCGGGAAGCCCATTGAGAGTCCCTTCGATGATGTACGTACCCCCGAACTTGCTTTGCGGACGAAAACAGGCATACTGACAGACAGGGCAGATTTACATGCTATCATCTATCAATCACCATCTTGCTATTCTGCACTTGCGTGTACATCGGCGATATCTCGAAATGATTACCCACGGGCGCAGCGACTTCCCACCAGTCTCGGACGGTGATCAACCATGGCAGGTTCTCCAGCTCCGACGGACCAAGTGGTACGATTTGTTCGACGCCGAAGATCGACTTGAAGTGTTCAAGGGAATCTGGGGCATCTTTCATTATCTTTTACGGCAACAACCTTCCCCTTTCCAGCATCTCAACTGATACCTGTTTCGTGTGTGCATTTCTATGATATCCAGATCTAGCCTTCAGATCTAGCCTTCTCTGCTCTTCATTCTCGTCCACACCCGGTCAAATTTGACGGTGGACATTGCGACAGCGTTTACCTGGACTGATGTCCTATCATGACTCTCTTGCATCATATCATCATATATAGATGGCAGGACCATAGACACCGATAGAAAGCATACAATTCGTCCCCATGATACTCATTCCTTGATTTGACCTGGCCTCTCCTACCTGTCGCGGACTTGTTCTGAGTAGTCCGGGCCGAGTACTGTGTACTGAGTCTCCGGCTACTCCCGATTTAGACTCTCCTACTGCCCTACTGCATGCCTATCTAACTGGATACTTAACTACCGAATGCAGGCAGCACAGCATAAAAGCATGCCCATCAAACAACCCGCTCCGCAGGAGAGAGTCTCGGGTTACACCACTTTT